AATCCGGACCGAACCAGACCGAATTATACGGTTTGGTTCGGTTCCATTAAGAATTGGTTGGGTTTCGGATTAAGAAATATGAGAACCGTAAAAACGGTTCGGTTAATAAATTTTATGAAAAAACCGCGGTTCGAACTGAACCGAACCGAACCGAATTTTAAAAGATAGATAGATAGATATATATATATATATATAATATAATATCAAGTTTTATTTTTAGTAATTGGTTTTTTATAATTTTAATGATATTAAGATGGTATAGATATGTAATATTAAGTAATGCCTTAATATTATTAGTTTTTATCACGAGTTAAATGTAATTAATTTGAGTAATTATTTTGCTACTATTAACAATTTATTCTTGTAAATAGAAATTTTTGGAACCGTAAATCAAACCGAACCGAACCATTTTTTCGGTTCGGTTCTGGCCCGGTTTTACAAGTGTAACGGTCTGGTCTGGTTCTCAAAATCACAGAACCGTTAGGATCGGTTCGGTTCTTGAATTTTTTCAGAACCGAACCAATCCGGACCGTGTACACCCCTAATTCTCAGCCCTTCTCTCACAACTTTCCCAGGAACGATGAAAAGAAAGAAACCCAGAACAAGAAAAAATTATTTTTTATTTATTTTTCCAATTTACCCACTAAAACGACGTCGTTTTGGTGAAGTTGAATCTTAGCCCTTGGAAGGCTAAGTGGGACACGTGTCTGTCTCCCTATCTTCACTTTAGGAGATCACTTTAGATATATGTGACACCCTAAATTTTTTTTTTTTGAAACGTCATAAGATTTAAATAACGATAACTTGCTAGATAACGTTTTAACTACTAATTAGGAACTTTTAAGTTCTTACATAGTCAAAATCCAACAACAAAATAAAACTACAAATTCACACCCAACGTCACAACATAGTTAAATCCTAATACAAGGGATAACAAGATTTTATTTCGATAAAATCTTGACTCTGAGTCAGCCAAGGTTCGATATTGGCAGCAGCTCCAATTTCAGCCTCAGTCCCTTCTTCGACATAATCTGGCATGAAACGCCAGGCCAACAAAATATATACCATGAGTTTTGTAACACAGTAAGAAAACGTAACCAACCTACCATTCTTTTTAAGAGAAAAATAATAATATTCTAAACATGAGATAACAATATAATTATACACAGAATTTACAACCATTAGAATAATTTCAGTAATTTTTATAAATTAGGTGACACTCGAAATCTCACCAAAGAGATTTAACTTACCAACCACTAAGCATGGCAACGGTTAATTTGAAACCCTCCCTTGGTCAAATATTTAAGTGTTACCAACAGTAACTACCAGGGATGCCCACATCCGGAGTTATATACCCAAGTAGTGGCATCCGTGGTCTGCCCCAAGGAAACGGTCTGCCAGGGGTAAGCAACCTCCCTGTGTGCCACCTGCACATCCACCCTTATTCCAAAACCGAATACCGAAAAGGGTTCAAATAAGTCCCGTGCCATCTTAAGAGTTTCGCAACACAATTTACGTGAAGTTCCCAAAACCAGGGCTGACCCTGAACAACCGGTGTTAAACCGTCAACTCTTAATTCTGTACAGTCTTTAAACCAAGACTTACCCCGAACAACTGGTATAACCCATTTTATTTGTATATGCGTTAATCAGTTCAGTTAAATTTTGATATTAATCACAAATAAATCCAAATTTTTAATCACAAGTAATGTTATACCAACTCATTAAAATTCCCAATCATAAAATATTGCATGTGTCAACAATACTAAATAAAAGTACAGAATTTAAATAAACAATTATTTTAAACCATGGTATGAAATAATAACTTAGATACAAGAATTAAACCCTAAATACACACATGCACAAATTTTGATTTACAAAATTAGACTAGCATAATATTAAAGTGGTGATTTTATTCTGTCCAGAAAAATTTTCAGAGTATATATCTTGCAAATAAAATTATAAATACATTACTTATACAACTCTAAAATTCATATCAATCTACAGGATACTCAATAAACATGTTATGGTTATTTTTCAGAAAGATTTTCCAAAAAATAACTTATAAATAATTCTAAACAAATTCCAAGGGTGTTTATGACACAGATTTGTCACATTTCTTTACATTAATTCCATGCTTAAATTTATAGATCAAACCCATAATCTAAAAATTTGTCATGAAACTAGACTTCTCAAATTTCATCTTTTCGTTAGAAATTACCAGATTTGGCTTAGTATAGAATTTTAAATAAAATTTTCAAATACATGGTAAAATCTGTCTCACAGTTTTAGATTTAGTTAGAAATTTGTATAAATTCGTAAAAGCTCAAAAATTGTTTCCAAAATTTTTTGGATAAACTAGACATCATTATCAACAACTTTGTAGAGAAATCATTCTAAAATTCTGAGTATAAAATTATCTAAAAATTCGGTAACATGCTGGCAAATTCAAAACAGATTATTCTCAACAAAGTTCAGATTTAGTTAAAAATTTGTATAAATTCGTAGAAAGCTCTAGAATTGTTTCCAAAAATTCTGGATAAACTAGACATCATTATCAACAACTTTGTAGAAGAAATCACCCCAAAATTCTGGTATAAAATTATCTAAAATTCGGGTAACATGCTGGCAGATTCAAAACAGATTATTCTCAACACAGTTCAGATTTAGTTAAAAATTTGTATAATTTCGTAGAAATCTCGAAAATTGTTTCCAAAAATTTCTGGATAAACTAGACATCATTATCAACAACTTTGTAGAAGAAATCATCTCGAAATTTTGAGTATAAAATTTTCTAAAAATTCGGGTAACATGCTTGCAGATTCAAGACAGATTATTCTCAACACAGTTTCAGGTTTAGTTAAAAATTTGTATAAATTCGTAGAAAGCTTGAAAATTGTTTCCAAATTTTTTTGGATAAACTAGACATCATTATCAACAACTTTGTAGAAGAAATCATCTCGAAATTCTGAGTATAAAATTTTCTAAAAATTCGGTTAACATGCTGGCAGATTCAAGACAGATTTCTCAACACAGTTTAGACAATGTATCATATGTACACAATCTGAAAATTTCAATAATGTAAAAAAAAAAATGAGAGGTTTGAGAGGGTTTTCTTACTTAGTAATAGGGTGACAAAATGGTTGAGAATTTTGGCTTCCTTAATCTCCTACTCTTCTTCCTCTCCTATCACTAAGCTTGGTTGCTTTGGGGATTTCTCTGTCTTTTTTTTTTTTTTTTCTCACCGAATGCTTGCATGCACCCTATAGACAATGAAGGCTTGCATGCATATATATATATACAATGCTTGTTGCATACATCTCTCTCTCTCTCTCTCTCTCTCTCTCTCTTCATTCTAAGTTTTCTTTATCTCAATTCCAAGAGCATCATTAGCTCTTCTTTCCTAAACAAGCATGCAAATCAACATGTGGAAAGCCTCCACCAAAATTCTGCAAAGGTTTGATTCCTTTTTTTTTTTTTGTGGGTTTTTGAAAATTGACACACTAAGGCCATGTTTGTTTGGGTGGACATGAGTTTGGGATTGGACTAATAGTTCAATAAAATTATTAATCCGATGTTTGGTTAAACAATTAAAGTACGGACTAATTATTTTAAACTTGACTATTAGTTAAGATAGGATACATAATCCAACGGATTCGTATTCTTAGGACTATTAGTCATGGGAATGCTAATCCAGTCCGCCCAAACAAACATGGCCTAAGATTTTTAACTAAGGTATTTAGTAAGAATAATTATTATATTGAATCATAATTAAAATAATTTATAAACAACAAATATTGAACACCCACAAAATTATTATTCTTAATAATGTCTTGTTAGTGATTGAATTGAGTCAATTTAAAATTAACTTTTACACTAATATATAATTCAGATAGACTGTAAATTAATTTTCTTTAAAGAATAATTAAAAAATGGATTTTCACAATATATTCCTCTAGAGGATCTTAACGCATAGCGTTATTGATATTTCACAATAATATTGGATAATCATTGTATCATTAGTTAATGAAAAATCTCATTTTATGATATTAGAGGCTATATAATTGAGTTAACAGGAAATCATATGCATTTATTTAATTTTAAAGTGTTTTTAGTAGATAGTTAAAATTTGACTTTTTAATTATTTTTAATTATTTTTACTGTTTTATGTGAGAGATAATGCCACCTCAAATAGATTAAAAGTTAATTTTTGACCTTTTTAATATATTTTTATTTGTAATTTTTTATTGGTAGGTAATAAAAGTAAGATGATGTAATCATTGCACAATAAGCTACACATCTTCAAATTGTTTATGGCAAGAGAGAAAGTCACTCCTTATCTTCAATAGCTTCCAAGATGATCCTAGGAGGAGGTATTGGCTAATAAAGCCTTCGTTTTAGAATGGGAGATGACATTTTAGTTTTTTAATTTTTTTGATTATTTTAATTTGAGTTAAAAAGTCTCGTAATAGGTTTTTTAATTTTTTTAGTTTTTATGAAAAAAAAATAAAATGATTATAATTTGAATATGATATTTTATTTTATTAATTTTTTAACTTATTTTATTTTATTTTATTTTAAACTATTTTAATCCAAAACCAAACATGCCAAATAATAGCCAAAATATCATAAATTTGATTAGGTGGACATCAAAGAGACTCGCACAGGATTTGTCATCCTACTTGGGGTTTTTATCTAATATCATTCGTAATTTTTATTAATTAATAATATTTGATCAATAAAAAACTATGTGGGTATTTGAAAAGTTATTATTTTAATAAGTTATTTTAATTTTTGATTATTTTAATAAGTTAAAATTTTTATATTTAGAAATATAATTGGATTTTTTTATAGTTATATGTAATGTGTGTGAAAAAAAAAAAATTATAAATTTGATGTGATATTTTATTTTATTAATTATTTTAATTTATTTTTATCATTTTATAAACTTAAAAAAAGAAAAAGAAAAAGAAAAAGGAAAAAAAAATCCAACTTGCCAAAACCTTCAAAACGATATAAGCCAACAGGGAAAAGTCACCCTTCTCTCCAATGGCTTCCAAGACCCTTCTTTGCCTCTTCTTTTGCCCTATTCTCTTTCTACAATTCCATTTCTCATCCGCCCAAGTCGTTGAAGCTTCTTATTGGTTCCCAGAGAGTGGTTTTCTAGCCTCAGACATAGACTCCACTCTCTTCACTCACCTATTTTGTGCATTTGCTAACCTAAATTCCACAACCAACCAAGTCACAGTTTCCTCCTCAGACGATGCCCCATTTTCCCAATTCACAAGCACTGTCCAACTCAAAAACCCTTCTGTCCAAACCCTCCTCTCAATCGGCGGTGGAAGTTCTGACCAAACCGCCTTCGCTTCCATGGTTAGCCAATCCGCCACCCGAAAAACCTTCATTGACTCTTCCATACAGCTAGCTAGGTCTTATGGCTTTCTAGGCCTTGACCTTGATTGGGAATACCCGCAATCCGCTTCCGAAATAAACAATTTCGGCTTGCTCTTCACCGAGTGGCGGTCTGCAGTGGCAGCCGAAGCTGCCGCCACTGGAAATCCGACCCTGTTATTGACCGCAGCAGTCAACTATGCATCGACGGTTAATGGGGTGAATTATCCCATTCAGCCGATTGCAAATAGCTGTGATTGGGTCAATTTAATGGCCTACGACTTCTATGCGCCCAATTATTCCACAGTGACCAAGCCGCCAGCAGAACTATTTGACCCGCCTTCGGGTTCAGTCAGCGGAAGTTATGGGATCCAGTCATGGATTCAGGCCGGGCTAAGCCCACAGAATATGGTGTTTGGTTTGCCGTTTTACGGGTATGCATGGAAACTTGTGAATGCTAATGATCATGGGTTTAATGCCCCGACTAGAGGGCCGGTCGGGTCGGGTGATGGCTCAATGGGTTATAATGAGATCAAGGCCTTCATAGCCCAGAACCAGGCCACAACTGTGTACAATTCTAGTGTTGTTTCGGATTATTGTTATTCTGGAACAACATGGATAGGATATGATGATATCCAGAGTATCACAGCCAAGGTTTCATATGCTAAGCAACAGGGATTGCTTGGGTACTTTTCTTGGCATGTTGGAGTTGACAACAATTGGGCTCTTTCACAAAAAGGTATGTCTCAATCCATCCCAACCATTCATGCTTTTTTTAAATTTAATAGAAAATTGTGCAGTCTAGATTTGATCAGCAATGTTAGGTACTTAGAATTTTATATTAAAAAGAATTTTAAATTTGAAAATGTATGAATCAAATTAAAACTGGATGTGATTTATAGTGCCTTATTTTGGACATTATTTGAGATGTGGCCAATTTATTGATAAAATAATTTAAAAAGTGGAATCTATTAAAACAATGCATTGATCGTGCATTAGATGGTATCTAAAATTTGATATTTAAATTGAAAATAAATTGTACACAAAAATCATACATGATGAGATGATAGTATCATTTTTACAATTTTAAGTTATAATAAATTAATAATAATGGGTGTTTTATTAGTCATCTAAATTTGGTCAGCATTGTATTATTGTTGACCTCTTAGCCTTAGGAAAGGAAATAACTAAGCCTTCGTTTGGAACGTTGAGTTGGTTTCTTTATTTTTTTTTTTAACTTTCATGAGAGAAAAAATAAAATGATTATCTGTTAGATATGACATTTTATCTTATTTAACTAAAATAGTCAATTTTGTTCTATACGACTATTTTAGCCCAAATAGTATCCAAAACATAGCTTAAGTTCACTCGCTGCACATTGTTGCAGCAACCAAACAAGCTGTTAATAGTTTAGTTGAAGCTTTAAATATGGCCTCAAAGGCATTTATTTATTTATTTTTAATTACATTTAACTATTTAACTATTCAATTTATTTGACATAAATTCAAAAATTAAACATAATAAATGGTTAGAACAATAAAAACAAACATATCTATACTATATATTAAGCAAAAGAGAATTTTTAACGCCAAGCATTGTGGGAGTTTCAATCTCCCAATCTAAATTTCCTGATTTTTTGATTTTAAAAAAAAAACCTTAGCATTTATTAACTTCTTCTAACCCCCAAGTCTTATTCTCATAATAACACTTTAATGTATTAAGAACAAGTATAAAAAAAATACTTTGAAATCCAATACATATGAATTCCTTGAAAAGTCCAAACACATATGATTATTATCCCTTATAATAACACTTTAATGCATTAAAAACAAGTATAAAAAAAATTTCTTGAAAAGTCCAACACATATGATTATTATCAAAATATTAAACTTGAATATAATATAATAAAAAAAGAAGACATTTAATTCCTTAAAAATCCAACACATATGATTATTATCAAAATATTAAACTTTAATATAATATTAAAAAGGATAAAAAGAAGACATTTGAAAAAAAAAAAAAGAAAGACATTTAAAAATCGCAATTCATATATATAGATAATTGTAAATATATTAAGGAAAATGAGGTTTCTAAACCCCAAGCTTTATGGGAGCTCCAATCTCTCAATCTTAATTTTCTAAATTTTTTATCTAAAAAAAAAAAAAAAACCTCAGAAAACAAGTTAACAACGTTAGTTTGTGTTACCCTTATTTATATGCAATTTGGGTAGAAGGTCTAATCACAACTGCGAGAGACACTAAAAAATTCCTAATCTCCACTGCATTAGACATTTTACAGGATCATTAGCTCAAACTATCTTCCGTCAATGGCATCCTCAAGCAAGTCCACCGAGAAGTACCCATATCCGAAGGACGTTAAGGTGTCGGAGCACGTCCCAAAAATCTTAAAAAACATAATTTATATATTAAAAAAAATTAAAACAAATATAAATATCTATAATTATCCCGTGCATAGCACGAGTGATAAGATAGTACATTTATTACCGTAAAACATAAATTAACATAAGTACATTTATTACCGTAAAACATAAATTAACATAATAAAATATAAATTAATTTGTAATATGGTAACGATTCTCTTTCAAATAGATAGAACACTAAAAACAAACATATACATTTATTACCATCAAACATAAATTAACATAATAAAATATAAATCAATTTGTACTATGGCAACAATTTTCTTTCAAATAGCCAAAACAAATCTCCAAAATATGTTTAAGAAAGCAGAGAAGTTTCTGTCATGAAATTTAGCAGGATGCTTTCTCTTTGCATTCCAATAAAAGCGTTCCTTTGTTTGTGTTTATCAATTTTTCCAATAAATATACAACAACTAAACTCTATGCTTACAAAAGAATGCAAAATAAATAGAATAACATGAAAATTTTATTTTAATTTCTTCCAATAACTCAGATCATTAATAAGTTTATGTTGGGAAAAACTACTCACATTACATAATTTCACATTGCATATCGCAAAATTATGAGATGAACAAAACAAACCTTCAATCCTAGGAAAAATAACATGCTGAATAAAATACAGATAAAATATAAAATGGTTAAAGGAAGCAAACCGAAACTTGTGTGATACCACAGTCTCCTTAAAATAGATTTGCCGCCTCATCGTTGGGTGCTGGAGGTGCGCCGGCGTCTACTTCTCAGGATACGACAGTTTTTACCAGCTACAACAGAAGCACCTTCTGATTAACTTAGCGAACGGACAACGGCAGCACTCTCTCTCAGGAAGAAAATTATAGGAGAAGTAGACTGACAGTGTATGGATGTCAAGGAAAAATTTTACATCTCTTTTCAAGGAATAGGGCCTCCTTTTATACACCATGGGGGAGAGGGGAGGAGCCTCTAGCCATCAAGGCTGACAACTAATGCTAACAAAACTGTCCAATCAATTTTGTAAAACTGATGAGCCTTAAATGTGTGAGTTATATACACATTTATGAGGCAATTTCTTATTCAACCATTTTTCTCCAACAATCCCCCACATGAATAAAAATTGACCGAATACAGCAAACGCTCAACGTTTATCAACAAAGACTCGGAAAGAGAGAGAGCAAACAGACTAACCCTGCATCAGAAAAGGTAGCTGTTGGCCTTGAACCTTTCGTAGTGAAAGCCTATCGGATTTACTGGCTGACCAGTATTTAACTATTCAATTTATTTGACATAAATTCAAAAATTAAACATAATAAATGGTTAGAACACTAAAAACAAACATATATATTTATTACCGTCAAACATAAATTAACATAATAAAATATAAATCAATGTGTAATATGGTAACAATTCTCTTTCAAATAGCCAAAACTAAATCTCCAAAATATGGTTAAGAAAACAGAGAAGTTTCTGTCATGAAATTTAGCAGGATGCTTTCTCTTTGCATTCCAATAAAAGCGTTCCTTCGTTTGTGTTTATCAATTTTTCCAATAAATATACAACAACTAAACTCTATGCTTACAAAAGAATGCAAAATAAATAGAATAACATGAAAATTTTATTTTAATTTCCTCCAATAACTCAAATCATTAATAACTTTATAGGTGAGGTATGTTTTCCTGCATGTAAATAACAAAGGAAAGAAGAAAAAAAAAAATTTAAGAACAACATTTTTATATTGTGGAGGAAAATTTTGGGAGGAAGTTTTTTAGCTAAACAAATGAATTTAATTCAGCTGCATTTATTGGTGGTAATTTTGTCACAAAAGGTATCATAATATTTTCATTTCAAAAGAAATCCCTTTGAGCATGATCATGATTCATGCTAGGTGTCAGGGTTGGGCTGAGTTTTTGGGGCTTAAGGCCAAACCAAAAAAGGAGTCTATATTCATAAAAATAAAAATAAAAATAAAAATCACCTTATTTGGTATCATTATTGTCTATTGATATTAAAATAGATACCAAAATGTATTCATTTCAGTACAAAAAAAATAGAAAGTTACCCAAAGGTATAGTTCAAATCAACAAAACAACTTAATTAATCAACAAATCTAATTAATGAAATGTTCCAACGGTGTGAAGCAAACATAAATGATTTTACATTGTGTTAAATTGAAGAGTGGGATAATAATTTTGCTTCATCGGCAGTGTGAAGCAAACATAAATGAAAAGGAAGCATGACTATATAATCAATCCACACAAAACACACAATCCACTCACTATTTGATATCTGATAGCAAATAAATTATGGAACATAATTTAACGAAACAAAATTAGGGCAAAAAAATTAGGAAAACTTTATTTAATTAAAATATGATAAAGACGTAGAGTAAAATTATTTATTCCATTCAAATTTGATAGTTTGTGAGAGAAAAATTAGGACAAAATTATTTATTCTATTATTTGGGCCAACTATACTTGTATATGTTTTAATTTATTTTTTTCAATTGGGCCTAATCACATATGTGATTAAATGTTTTTTTTCATTGAGCCCAACTGAAGTTTTCGGAACCCTTTAGATTGACCCTAAATCAACAAAAATACATTGGGTCTATTTAAATTTTGAATATACTACTAATAAATTTGAAGACCCTTTTGTTTGGGGTTGTTTGGAGTCTCTTAAATAAGTGTACTTTTTGTCTTTTTAGACTAAAAAGTTGAGGAAAAAAATATAGATGTTTGGGTTAACTTTTTGATTTTTTATAAAAAAATGTGTATTAAAAAATTGTATAAAGAAGTGTGTAGGAGAAGATGGTGTAGAAGGCCGTACGGACCGGCAGTGGAGTAGACTGGTGGAGTACATGAGAAATTATTATCTCCTTCTTGGGCTTTGATTGGATGGTCTTGTTTGGCGCGTGAGGCCTACCACGGGTCCTATTTTTCTAATCGAAACCGTTCAATGTGTACAACTCGTCGAGTACTATATGTTTGTAAAAAATCACGTTGATTGGATATCGATAGCTATCTGATCGTGTTAGTATTTTTTTGTTAACTGTTAACTATAACACCATCCATTTTTATACAATTTTGATTTGATAATATAGTTAGCGATATTCGATAGATGTGATTTTTTAGAGGCATATAGTAATAGACGAGTTCTACATATTGAATGATTCAAATTATCAAAACGGGACCCATAGTGAGCCCCACGGGCCGAACTTTATCATCCAATTTAGTTTGGGGCACACATGGAAATTTTTTTTTTCCTTCCTTTAACTGAGTAGTTCATCACGTCAGTGGCCGAAAAGTTGATTTGAATGAATATTTGTATATTATTTTTTGTTGTATTTTTTGTTTTTTTTTTTACTTTTTTAATGCATTAGTGTTATTAATGGTATATTTTTTAATGGTCTAAATCATTATTATTTTTTAAATTGCATTACAAGATTGTGTCTAATCATATATATTATTAAAAGTAATATTTTTTATTTACTTAAGTGACATGTTATTAGGGTTTATTTTTTTTTCTAAGATAGTCACATCAACATACATTTTTTTAATTACATATAAAATTTTACACAAATCCAAACATAATTTAAACTTTACTAATTTTACCTATTTTATATGAATTTTATTTGACAAATATTTCTTTTTTATATTTTTTTATGATAAATTGAGATCATTCACAAATTCAATACCAATTTTGCATTTCATGTTTTTCTTCTTACTTCTTTCAAGGGTGTTAGGAATTTTTTTTAATGTTAAATTGCCTTCTTTTTTTTTCCTCTTATTTTTCCAAAGGCTGGGTACTTCTTTCAATAGAATGAAAAGAAGACCTTGTCAATTTTTCTTCTACACAAGTTTCACACTTGTGTTGTGGATTAATCTTGAAAGATGGTATGTGATCTAACTTGATTAATCTACGTAAAGAGTCAAAATTTACATGACCCAATCTACCATGTCATAAATTAGGAGACTCAAGCATATAACCAGAAAAGGAAGCTTTCTCATTAATCTTAGAGATAAGTGTCATTACATTCAATTTAAACATACCACCTGACATATATCCCTTCCCCACATAGACCCCGCCCTTGGTCAACACGACTTTGTCTGATTCAAACGCCATGCGGAAGCCATGCTTGCTTAGGAGAGACCCCGAGACAAGGTTTTTACGAATGTCCGGCACAAAAAGGACATCGTTCAAAGTCAGTTCTTTTCCTGAAGTCATCTTCAGGATCACCTTGCCTTTACCCTCAACAGCTGAGGTTGCAGAGTTTCCCATAAACAACTTCTCCCTGTTTGAAACCGGTTCGAAAGTTGTGAACATTCTCTTCTCTGCACAAATATGGCGAGTGGCCCTAGTGTCCACCCACCACTCCCTCGGGTCTGACCCCACCATGTTCACTTCTGACACGACGGCTGACAGATGCATGTCGTCCACATCGTGTGACAATTCCTCCATTTCAGCCATATGGGCCCGATTTTTGTGTTGGGGAGGGTTTTTCCTGTAGGGCTTCTTTTTCAGACAATCAACTGCCCGATGCCCGTCACTTCCACAGTTGAAACATTTGCCATCGAACCTAAAAGTAGGCTTCTTTGGCTTGTAGGCTGGCCTTTTGGAGATTCCTCCTCTAGCCCTCAACTTTGAGCTTTTGCCTGTCGGTGGTTTTTTCCTTGCCCCCGAGGACTCGCTATGCTCAACCATGTTAGCTTTGACAGTGGAGGTACTTCCTCCTTTCTTTCTGTTGTCCTCTTCAATCCGGAGCCTGACAATGAGCTCTTTGACTGTCATCTCATTTCGTTTGTGCTTCAAGTGGTTCTTGAAGTCTTTCCAGCCGTTAGGCAGCTTCTCAATCAAAGCAGCTGCCTGGAATGACTCACTTAGGACCATCCCTTCTGCATGTATCTCGTGCAGAATCACTTGGAACTTTTGGATTTGACTCAGGACAGTTTTAGAGTCCACCATGTTGAAGTCCAGGAACCGGCCGATGATAAATTTCTTTACCCCAGCATCCTCGGTCTTGTACTTTTTGTCCAAGGCATCTCACAACTCCTTAGCTGATTTCTTGGCATAGAACACGTTGAAAAGGGGATCCGCCAAGCCGTTCAGAATGTAATTCCGGCATAAGAAGTTTGCTTGTTTCCAAGCATCCAGAGCCATGAGCTTTTGTTTATCTTGCTCATTCTCTTCTACGGTTGGTACATCTTCACTCAGAAACCTCGCAAGGCTTAGAATAGTCAAATAAAATAGCATCTTCTACTGTCATCTCTTGAAATTCACTCTTAGACAAAACTTTCAAGAGCATGTTGACTCTTAGTCCATGGGAAACAACTTTAAGAATTAAATTTTCCAAGGGATGAACTAGGTTAAACACACCAAGTTCCAAACTATACAAGCAATTACAACAAAATTTCTACAATAATTACAGGCAAATAAAACGTGTTTTACATATTGGTGAATAACCACAAATGAACACTCAAGCAAACAATTGCTTCAAATATTTAGTCCAAATTAATCATTTTTCCCATTTTCATAGGTATTCCTGCAATAAAGAGTTAGCAGCAAAATACAACAAAACCTCCCTCAGCTTTTATTTGCTTTTGGCAAAGTAGTGATTGAAGGGGAGAGTACTAGCAAACAAACTAATAAATAACTGTAAGTAAAGATTAAAACTAACCCTTAAGTTACACATCTAGAATTTAAACTAAAAAAAACTGTAAAAAATTAATTACATAATAAACATGTAATTAACTATATAAGTTACAGACCTAAATTAAATATAATTAAACCATATTTTAAATTGGTAAAGGTTACATATGAACTTATGGTACACTAAACATGTAATTAATTGAGGCAAGTTACAAACATTTTATAACTCCTAAATACTTAAATCACATTACTAGGCAAGAATTGCAAATGACATGATTAACATGCAAATAATTCTAGAGAAATTAACATGAATTTAAATATAGGCAAGTTATAAACTTTACAACTCCACACTGGGAAGACCAAACAGTAGCATACACAAAATGGCAAAATCAAAAGCTTAACCCTGTGTACATGCATCTAATAAACCAATTAACTCGCTAGTACTACCAGTGGCCAATTACATGCAAAATTATTACACACACCTATGAATCTATTAATCTAATTTTATGATAAACGTCGAATCTATTTTAAGCTTGTTGGGAAAAACTACTCATATTACATAATTTCACATTGCATATCGCAAAATTATGAGATGAACAAAACAAACCTTCAATCCTAAGAAAAATAATATGCTGAATAAAATACAGATAAAATATAAAATGGTTAAAGGAAGCAAACCGAAGCCTGTGTGATACCATAGTCTCCTTAAAATGGATTCGCCGCCTCACCGTTGGGTGCTGGAGGTACGCCGGCGTCTACTTTCCAGGATACGACGGTTTTTACCAGCTACAACAGAAGCACCTTCTGATTAGCTTAGTGAACCAACAACGACAGCACTCTCTCTCAGGAAGAAAATTATAGGAAAAGTAGATTGACAGTGTATAGATGCCAAGGAAAAATTCTATATCTTTTTTTTCAGGAATATGGCCTCCTTTTATACACCATGGGGGAGAGGGGAGGAGCCTCTAGCCATCAAGGCTGGCAACTAATGCTAGCAAAACTGCCCAATCAATTTTGTAAAACTGATGAGCTTTAAATGTGTGAGTTATATACACATTTATGAAGCAATTTCTTATTCAACTATTTTTCTCCAGCAGTTTATAGGTGAGGTATGTTTTCCTGCAGCTAAATAACAAAGGAATGAGAAAAAAAAAAAAAAAAAATTAAGAACAATATTTTTATATTGAGGAGGAAATTTTTGGGAGGAAGTTTTTTAGCTAAACAAATGAATTTGATTCAGCTGCATTTATTGGTGGTAATTTTGTCACAAAAGGTATCATAATATTTTCATTTCAAAAGAAAGCCCCTTTGATCATGATCATGGCTCATGCTTGCTGTGTGAGAGTTATTCAACTTGTTTGCTTTTGATTTACAAAAAATACTTTTAAGAAAATTTTATATTTTTATTTTCCGTATTTTTTTGGTTTTGGTTTTGATTTTACTCTTTTTTGGTTTAGTTTTGATTTCTAATGTTGTGCGTTCTTTTCTTATTGCAGCCAAACAAACTTGGGAAACAGGAAACATATTTCAATCAGGGATAAATATATCTTGACCAGGATTAATTAAGATTGAAACTTAATAATTTTATTTGTAATATTAAACACAAACAATAAGAGCTTATCCATATTCTTGTTCCATAAAACGTAAGAACTACTACATCCTTGGAATTTGGCCCCAAGCTGAATGCTCGGGATGTAATCAAATTTCACTTTAATCTCTTATATGTTAATATATTTTTTTTTCAAAATTTAAATTGTAGACCGATGGAAGGATCATGTTAAAAATATGTTAAAATTTGAAGACTTAATTGCTTCAATTAAAAAATAAGAGACCAAAACAAAATTTAAGTGATAATTGAAAATGTAATTTAAAATTTTTTTTTAATATATTATATAGAGGAAGAAAGATTAAGTTCAAAGGCATATTTAGTGTAACTTATTTTAAGCTAAACTAATAATCAGAGAAAATGGAAATTAAAAACGCCCCTTCTAACGTTTCCAAGTAATAAACTTTTTATAATTTATTCAAACTATTTCTATCGAACAAGTTATAACCAATCAGGCTTTCTAAAAAAAAAAAAAAAATTATAACCAGAAACTGCACAAAACAAAACAATTTAAAAAAATTCCACTAAATAGTTCATAAACCAATGACCCATGGAAAGCTTAGAAGAGGCTTTAAAAGTAGAAAAGATTGTAAAGGAATTATATTTATGTGTTATTAATAAAAGAAAGTCAATAGAAACATGTGTTATTTGATTATTGTGTACTGATCTTCTTTTTTAATATATTAGATGAAAAAAGAAAAAAAAATTTTAAAATATTATGGATAGTCCAAAATATTATGGTTTCAACAATATTAAAAATATTAACTCATATATATCAACAAACATATTAATTAGACATAATGATAAGTGAGTTCTATGTCAAGTGATGGATTTCACAAACATCTCCTATGTGATAGTTGGATAATTATTCAATATCACATGTAATAGTGACGTGATTATGCCACAAATAGATATAGATCGCCAATTTATATAAAGTCCGTGTGATACTCACATAAATGGATAGTCCAAATATGTTTGTGGCCTTGTGACATGTGGCATGAATGTTTTTTTTTTTGTTTTTTGGGATATATTTATTAGTATATTAATTAGTGTTTTTAGTATTGTGATTATTGGATATGTTAGTGTTTTTTTTTTTTTGTTGGGAAATATGTTAGTGTTTTTTTCGGATATATTTTTTTGGATATATTTATTAGTGTCCCTCTCATCATCATATCAAATACATGATTTATTTCTTGTAAAATTCTGTTACTTTATGGTAAGTCACTTGTAGAATTAATGAAGAAAAAGTGGGTGAAGTGCTCAAAAGAGAAACTAGCAAGTGCTTTTCATTTTTTATTTTTTAAAGTTAAACATGCTCTTAAAATTCTTGAAAATGAGATAGATATATTTCTAAAGTATTACGCAATATATTTGTTAATTTTTCTTTGATTGGTCTAACTAAAGTCCACTTTTGGTATGCACATGTAAATAGGTTTCAATTTTATTTTATTTTTTATTTATTTTAATTTTTTAAGCCATGGAAATGAATTGGATTAAGGGTATCGAAATGTCTAGTCTATGGGAAATTATGCCCAACTCTTCAAACTTATTTTAAAGGTAACAAACTCAATTCGCAATTATAAATCTATTTAAATTACAATCATTTAAAGTTATTTAAGTTTGTTTAAATTTATAAATGGATTGCATCTTACAAACCCAATAAAAATTGAATTTAAAATGAACATGTAATGCTCTAAATTTCTAATCCAAATGATAATACGATAGTTATGGCTCTTTTAAGGAAAACCGAATATAAATCTCCAAACTTATATTACATGATACAATAGTTCTTCATGCAACAATACATTAATCCAACAACAAGTAAATAAACAAATAAATACCCCAAACTATTTATAAGTTTCCAAGGCTTGAGCTTAGTTACACAAAACGGTTATTCAAACCCACATACATACAGCCCTTGACTTACATATAGAGTCATAGCAAAATAAGAGTCTCGTACTCTCAACACACATTTTCTCGTCTTTAGTTAGGCGGCATCACCACATCTTTTCCTGCACAAAAATCCCGTAAGGTGAGCATAAAGCCCAGTACGAAATCCTTAACAAAGTATATACATTTTATACAAGTCTCAAGAGATGAAATGCACATGCCATGCTATGCCCATTTTTGAAGATAAATCACATTTTCATCTTTTGAAAACCATCATGCTTAATGATGTAATGCAATTTCAATTGTTCAAAACTTAACAATTTAATTTAAGGGCAGTAAATATGACTCTGGTAATCCCTAGGTCGGTGTTTGCAGGTAGACTATACAAGTACTACCAAATTGTTATTTTTACCGGTATCAACCGGAAGGCTCAACACCTATCTGTGCGGATTTTCGGTCTTTTACCCCGGACTCTCAGCCCAACTTATTCAATATCATCTACACCACCTATCAAGACTTACCAACGTATTTACCCCAAAACCATTTCATGAAAACTTGTTTCTCAACATTCTTTTCTCAATGCAAGTTTTCAAATCAACTTTCAAAGTTTAATGTAATCAAATGAATTGTTATACCAATAACACAAGATGAATATAAATACTTTTATTCCAATTCATCATCCAAGGAATAACAGAATTCCCTCTTCTCAAGTATCCTAAACAATTAGTCATTTCAAGACTATTTCAACGTTTTGAACAATAATTTCCAAAATGAACAACAATTCTCATATTCCCTGAAATTCATCATTTATATAAATATAAATAAGAAACTTTTCAAATATCTATTTATTTTGACACACAAAATAAATACAACAATATCATTCATGGATTTTCAGTTTCTTTTAAAAAAAATCCCCAAATTCTAGGTTTTCTCACCAAAACTATACAACTCAAATCCTTTGAAAGAAAACTTTCCAAAATTATCTTTTCTTCAATCAACGAATATCAAAACCCATAAGATCATTTTAAAAGAATAAGAGACAAACCCACTTTCAAAATCGCTTAACTTCTTGAATCAACAATCAATTTTCAAAACTATCGAAAGAAGATTTTGAAAATCATATAGATCTTGCATATATATAACTCTAAGAAAACCTCTACCTCAAGTTTTGAAGAAGAAATGAGATGAAACCCCTAAAATCAACAGTGTCGAAACTCGATCTTCACTGCACACAACGAAACCCTCGAGAAGCTAACTAACTTTGATGAAGAACTTATGGCAGAACTCTAATGGATCTTGAGAAATCAAGGTTTTGATCCAATTTGGCGTAGGGAGATGTAGAAAGAAGGGAGATGAAAGGGTTTTTAGAGAGAGATATACAAAAGTGATATGAAATATCAAATTCACGAATTGATATAACATGGTCCGCTCGAGCGTGGAAAGCCCCGTTCGAGCGTCAAATACACTTTCCAGTACTTTTGCAGACAGGTCAAATTTCTGAAATCAAATATTCTCCGCTCGAGCGCATAAACGGGCGCTCGAGCAGACAAGCAACTTCTAATGCATTTTGCATTTTTTGCATCGGGGGCGCTGCCCCTCAACCTCGCCAGGGCCCTGCCCTAGGACCCGCCAAAGGGCGCTGCCTCCTGGACCCTCGCGAGCTAACCGGGCAGCTCGATCCCTGCCAGGGCGTTGCCCTTGGACTTGCCAAGGGGTGTTGCCCCCTAGACCCCCGCGAGCTGACCGGGTAGCTTGATCCCCGACATACTCAGCGAAGTGGCAAAACTGGGATCACTACAACCTTCCCCTCTTAAAGAATTTCGTCCTCGAAATTTCAAATCAAACTACCCAAACAAAGGGTTTCTAGCGATCAAAACCACGCTATTTCATTTTCAAATCACAATAATAGCTCTCAACTAAATTCCATCATTTCCACCATGGTTATCTCATTAACAACAACCTTCCAAATACGCATAAACATGAAATTTTTCAAAAAGTAATGGCAACTCTAAACAACCTTATGCTTAAAACAACAACGCACATATCAACACGTGGTTAACAACTTTAAATACGTTTCCTTCAACACTAGGGAATATTACAAAGAAAAGTAACTTAAGCATTTTCAAATAAATCCAGATATTTGGAGCAGATTTCCGCCTCCCGTTACCACGTTGCTTCTTCAACCCCATGGTGCCTCTACAACAAATTTACCAACGGTATAGTTTTGCCTCGTAGCACTTGCTCCTGAGTATCTAATATTAGAACTGGTCGTTCTTCGTAAGAGGCATCCTCATCTATCTCCAAGTCAGCCCAATCAAGCACATGAGAAAGGTCGGGTATATACTTCCTAAGCATAGCTACATGAAATACATTGTGAACTCTCGAAAGTTGTGGCGGTAAAGCTAACCGGTGTGCCACTTCCTCAATTCGCTGTAAGATCTCAAAAGGCCCAATGAACCTTGGAGATAATTTACCACACTTACAAATCTCATCAAACCCCGCCTTGATGAGATTTTTAGAAACACATGGTCACCAACTTCAAAAGATAAATGTCGTCTCCTCTTATCGGCATAACTCTTTTGTTGGCTTTGGGCCGTAGCTAACCTCTTTTGAATGAGAACAACTTTCTCGGTTGTCTCTCTAACAATTTTTGGACCCAGTAACGGTGCATCACCCACTTCGGCCCAACAAACCGGTGATCTACAAAGTCGGCCATACAAGGCCTCAAATGGTGCCATCCCAATACTAGATTGGTAACTATTGTTGTAAGCAAACTCAATCAATGGTAAGTGCCTTTGCCTTTCCCAAGGCCCCTTAAAATCAAGGACACAAACTCCAAACATGTCCTCCAAAATCTGAATGGTACATTTTGACTGTCCATCGGTTTAAGGATGATAAGCGGTGCTAAGAGTCATCTTAGTTTCCAACGTTTCTTGAAGGCTTGGCCATAACCGGGCAGCAAAACAAGGATCCCTATCCGACACAATAGTCACAGGGACTCCATGAAGTCGAACTATCTCTCTAATGTACAACTCTGCCAAGCGTTCAACTGAGTCGCTGGTGTACATCAGAATGAAATGGGTAGACTTAGTCAACCTATCAACAATCACCCAAATAGCGTCATTGCCTCGTTGTGTTCTAAGAAGCTCCACTACAAAATCTATGGTAACACGCTCCCATTTTCATTCGGCTATTGGTAAGGGTTGTAACAAACCTGCTGGTCTTTGGTGTTCGGCCTTCACTTGTTAACAAGTAA